CTTTGTAGTTTTCAGTGTACAACTCTTCTCTTATTCAATTTATTCCTAAATATTTTATCCTTTTTTTGGGCTGGGGATTTAGCTCAGTGGCACCACACCTGTTCTGCAACCACAAGGCCCTGAGTTTGACCCCCGTTATCACAAAACAAAACAAAACAAAAAACAAAAGGAAAAGAAATAAGTGAATAAAATGTTGAATATCAAAAAAATCTTAGAAATATATTCAATTTAAAAATATTTTATTCTTTTTGATGCAGCTGTAAATGTAATTGTTTCCTTAATCTCATTTTTAGATTGTTCATTGCTAATGTGTAAAAATGGAACTGATTTTTGTATATTGATCTTGCTTTCTTCCATTTCGTCTAACTTATTTATCAGCTCTACTTTTTCTGTGGGCCAAATGAAATTTAGAGTTAATTTGTCAAGATCCCCAAATAAATGAGTAGAATTGTATCAAGTCTACAAATCATTTGGAGTTGAATTGACACAATTGAAATATTAAATATTTCTAATCTGATTATAAAATATCTTTCCCTTAGGTCATCTTTAATATATTTTAGTAAAATACCAATCTTCTACGTATGAGTTTTGCATGGATTTTCTTAGATTTATTTCTAGATTGTTTTCACTTGTATATTTTTTCCTGATAGTCTCAATATCATGTCTCATAATATGTCTTTTTCATTGATATGTTGATCTTATAGTTGATAATTTTTCTAAACATTTTCATTGGGTTTAATAATTTATTTGTGTGTTGTTTTGAGATCCTATGTATGAAGATTTAAAATTATTCCAATTGTTATCAATTTCAATCAAATGTCATTTGTTTACTGAGAGCATCCCAATGAACTTTATTTTTTAAAATTATTATTATTATTATTATTATTATTTTTGGTTTTTTGAGACAGGGTCTCACTATGTAGGTGAGACTGACCTGGAACTCAATATGTAGCCCAGGCTGGTCTCGAACTCACAGTGATCCTCCTGCCTCAGCCTCCCGAGTGCTGGGATTATAGGCATGCACCACCATGCCCGGCTTTCCCACTGAACTTTAAACACTAGCAAGCCACATGTGCCTGCTACTGAAATCATCTTTTTAGCCCTCATACTGATCATGGGTGTGGAGTGTGTTCCATAGGCGAAATCCTCATTTTCTCTATGTGTGGAAGTGGACTAGAGAGGGCTGGGCAAGAAGAGCATGGGAACCACTGAGTTTCTGCCAGTAGAGTTGTGAGGGGACAGTTAATGGAGGTGCACCAGCAGTGTCGTGACACCATGCAATGGGGGATTCTTTTTGTGTCTGCACTCAAACCGGAAGAAACTCTTCTTCAAAGCTGTCGAAAGAAAAATCTATCTTTAGGTGCAGAGATTTTAGAGGCTATCGACCACAGGCATGGTTAAGAGAGGGGCCATTACCTTCTCCTCTTTTATTTTTTATTTTTTTTTTGGTGGCACTACTGGGGATTGAACCCAGGGCCTTCATACTGAGCTATACCCCAGCACTTTTTATTTTTATTTTGAGACGGGACTCAGTGAGGTCCCAGGCTAGGCTTCCTGCCTCAGCCTCTGCAAGTGCTGGGATCACAGGCATGTCCCACTGCACCTGGCTAACCTTCCCCTGCAAGCCAAGACCGGAACATGGTGAGCCAGGAGTGAGGGCCCAGAGCAAGACCACTGCCTTGCAGGCCTCCAGGTCACACTGTCCATGTCATGCTCTGGGTCTCTGCTCCCTGGGCCCAAACTCCAGGTCCAGCATTGCCCTGAGCACTCTACTTCTGGGCTGATTTCACCCTCCCCACAGCTCTCCATCTTCTCTGCACTCCCTGTCTGCATGTGGAAGACACGGAAAAGAAAAGCTCAGAGCTGCCTGGTGGAGGCAGGGCAGGGGCAGATTCCGGCCCCCTGGCCCTCAGTGGCTGTGGTCCGTGTGACTTCCCAGCCTCAGGCAAAGAACAGGGTGGACCCTGGGGAGAGGGGAGGGTTCCCGCTGACTGTCCAGGTCTCAGCTTCTTCCTTGTCTCAGTCCTTCTGAGAAACTAGGAGAGCAAGAACCGTCCAAACCCAAACCCAATAGGAAGAAAATCATAAAGATGGGGGGGGGAATTAATTATGTTAAAACTAAAAAAATTACAAAGAATCAGTGAATCAAAGAGCAGGTTCTTTGAAAAAATAAGCAAAGCAGACAACCCTTAGCTAAACTTACCGAAAGAAGGAGGAAAAGGCCTACAACAATACAACGAGAAATGGAAAAGGTGAAATCACAACAGGCCAAAGTCTAGATCAATAGTAACTACCGTGAAATACTGTGCTCCAACAAATTGGACAATCTTCAAGAAGTGGACAGATTCCTAGACACATATGATTTACCAAAACTGAACCAAGAAGACAGAAAACAACCCTGAACAATCAAATAAGACAATAAAATTGAGATATGAATTTAAAAAAAAATCCACCAAGAAAAGCCCAGAACCTGATGAATTCACCACTAAATTCTACAACACCTTCAGATATAGTTCCAATATTCCTCAAACTCTTTCATGAAATTGAAAGGGAAGGAGCACTTCCAAACTCATTCACGTGAGCTAGCATTACTCTGATCCAAAACCAGACAAAGACCCCCCCCAAAAAAAGAAAACTATCGATCATCCCTTTAATGAACATAGATGCAAAACCCTCAGTGAGATACTGGCAAAGAGAATGCAACAAGTTATCAAAAAGATCATACATCATGACCAAGGAGGATTAACCCCAGGGATACAGGTGGTTCGAAATCCACAAATCAACAGACGTGACACATCACACAAACCAAAGTAGGACAAAGTCACATGGTCCTATCAATAGATGCAGCGAAAGCTTTGGACAAAGTGTAACATTCATTCAGGATAAAAACTCTGAAGAAAATAGGTCTAGAAGGGCCTTATCTCCATCTGGTAAAAGCCATCTATGACAAACCAATGACCGTTGTCATATTAAATGGGGAAAAGCTGAAAGCTTTCCCTCTAAAATCAGGAACAGGACAAGGATGTCTGCTATCATACCTGTTCAACATGGCACTCAAAGTTTTGGCCAGAGTAATCAGGCAAGAGAAAGAAATAAAAGGGATACATATAGGTAAGGGAGAAGTCACATTATCATTATTTTCACATGGCATGATCCTTTTCATAGAAGACCCAAACATTCCACCAAAAGAGTCCGGAATTAATAGCCTAATTCAGCAATGTAACGGGATAAAAAAACCAACACACAAAAATCAGTAGCATTCATGTACACCCATGATGAACTCACTAAGAAAGAAATTAGGAAAACAACATCTTTCACAATAGCATCAAGAAAAATTAAATACTTAGGAATTAACCTAACCAAGAAAGTAAAAGACCTCTACAATGAAAACTAGAATACTTTAAAAAAAGATGATCGAAGAGGCTATTAGAATGTAGAAGGGTATCGCTTGTCCCTGAACAGCAAGAAACAACATCATCAAAATTTGCATACTCCCAAAACTGATCTATAGATATAATGCAGTCCCAATCAAGACTACAATACCATTCCTCGGAGAACTGTTGAAAACAATCCTAAAATTCATATGGCGCTACCAGAGACCCAGAATAGCAAAAGAAACCCTGGGAAACAAGAGCAAAGCAGGAAGCATCACAATCCTGGACTTAAAGTTACATTACAAAATTACAGTGATACAAAAGGCATGGTATTGGCAAATGAACAAACAAACAAACATCAGACATGTAGATCAGTGGAGTTGGACAGAGGGCACAGAAACAACCCCAGACACATTCACCCACCTGATTTTTTTATCAAAGGGGCCACTTGAAGGAAAGAGAGCTTCTTTAGCAAATGGTGCTGGGAAAACACAGAAGCTTGAGTCTAGACTCATAGCTCTCACTAAAACCAAAACGTCCAAAGATCTAAGCACTAATATGGAAATACAACCTGCTGGAAGATAAAATAGGCAAAACTCTCGAAGTCATAGGTATAGGCAAGGACTTTCTGCACAGAGCCCCAGTTGCACAACAAACAACGTCCTGGGATCATATCAGTTTAAGAAGATTTTGCACAGCAAAGGAAACACCAAACAGAGTGGAGTGGCAACCTATAGAATGGGAAAAAAAATTTCATCAGCTACACCTCGGACAGAGAACTAGTATCTAGAATCTATAAAGAACTAAAAAATTAGACCACCCCCAGAATAAAAGACCCACTCATAAAATGAGCAACCGAAATGAACAGACACTTCCTAGGAGAAATACAAATGGCCAACATGTACACGAGAAGAGGTTCATCCAACCATCAGAGAAATGCAAATTTAGAAAACACTGAGGTTCTGCTGGACCCCAGGAAGAATGGCCACCACCAAGAAATCAGTAACACATGCTGGTGAGGCTGTGTGGACAAAGGAGCCCTCCTGCACTGTTGGTGGGAATGTTCACTAGTCCAGCTGCTATGGAAATCAGTATGAAGACTCCTCTAAAAACTGAAACTAGAAATTCCTTTTGACCCAGCAATTCCCCTTCTGGAGATCTTCCCCAAAGAGTTAGACATCCTATTACAGTGCTACATGCATACCCACATTTATAGCAGCACAATTCGTAATAGCTAAATCTTGGGAGCAACCTGTATGTCCATCAACAGATGAATGCAAAAAGAGAATGTGGTATTTACACACCATGGAGTACTACTCTGCCATAAAGAAGGATAGACTTGATTCACTTTTAGGAAAATGGGTGCATCTTGAGACCATAATCTTAAGTGAAATTAATCAGAAACACAAGCTTAAACATCACATGGCTTCTCTTATATGAAAAAAACTAAAGTATAAATAAATCAAAGAGCAAAATAAAAGGTGGCCAATAGAAAAAAGAGAGATGTTTTTGCTAATAGGGAGGGACCAAGAGATATAGGTGGGAGAAAGGGAAGGGGACATGAAAAGAGTAATTGTCACATACATGGTGCCTTTGTGACGGCCACTTCATAGCCATGGAGGCTGAGGTGCAGGGAGCTTCTGTCCTTGCCCCAGGTCAAGCAGGCCCTCTGAACTCTAAATCCAGGCCCATGCTGTACAGGAAGCTCCGGGTCCCAAATCTTCTCCTGCGTCTTAGTGGAATCACCAGCCACTGCTTGGTTCTCTCCAGTGTTCAGGAGCTCAGCATGGTGCCACCCTGGCCTCTTGCATCCCCCTCATTCATTGTGCCCCCCGTCCTGCCCCCCACAGTTCTGAGTCCCCGCAAAGTTTTCTGTGACAGAGCTTCTCTGAGCTTGCGGCTGCTCATCCCTCTTCTTGGTGCCTGTCTGACAGGCCCTGCCACTTTGAAATCTGGGGCCTCCATCAACCCAACATCACCGACTGTGAGATGCTCCTGTGTTTGACTTCTATGGGAGAAAGAAAACCTTTTGCTCGTTACGCTGTGACATAACATTTCCTTTTGAAGATGCTGACATAACACTTACCTTGAAATTCATTTGGAATTTTCATTTTAGGGTCATTGCAAAAACTCTGGAGGCAGAGATTGTATCTTGTGTCACTCCTGTACATAGAAACGAAAACGTGGGAGAAGCACGTCAGTGAGGGTAGTCCCAACACCGCTCCACATTCAGAATCTGTTTTGAACAACCTCAGACTGAGTTCTTCACGCCTGCCACACTCCACACAAATGCCGTCCTCCATGCCGTGGGGATAGCAGCATTTTAAAAAGAATACGATGCTGTCGTCTGGGGACTTTCTCCCAAGCCTTGTGCACGTTTCCATCCCCAGCCGGTCACAGCCAGCCGTCTTGCCCATAGTGGTAACGGAAGGTGACAGCTTCCTCTGTGAGTGTGGGTCTTCCTTTTGGGGGACAATGGTGGCGTTTAGTTACCAGACTATGAGCAAATGTGGGGGTTCTTCCTCCTTTGACTAACACCCCCCTCAAGCCTGTCCCTGGGCACGCTGTCCCCGGCTCTCTTACACACACAACAGCTGCTCACTGATGTCAAGTCGTAGTGTGACCTCGTTGGCGACATTTTAACCGGCAGTAAAATGCAGCATGTGCCTTTCCAACAGTGGCAGAGTGAGCTGGGGAGTGGCTTCTCTGGCAGAGAGGAGACCCCACAGGGGACGAAGAGATCAGTACCAGGGACAGAGTTTGGCCCTTGCATTAAACCTCACGGATATTTAAAAAATATGTTTTGAGACAGAGACTCACTGTGTAGTCCAGGTTAACCTTGACCTCAATAAGTAGCTCTGGCTACTTAGTAACCCATGGCCATCCTCCTGCCTCTGTCTCCCAAGTGCTGGGACGTGTGCCACCTCTCGGCCTTTCAGCACCTTGAACACATCTGTGTGTGGTGCCCTCCACATCCTCCACCAGGCTCAACTGCGACCAAGCTGTCCTGTGTCCAGGTGGTGTCTGACTCTGTCTTTCCTGTATCTTTCTTCCTCTCCTGAAATCAGATGCACAGGCAAAATCCCCCCTCGCAACCCATAATGGAGCAGCTCAGCACCATGTGCCATTTGTAACATTACAGTGAAATAAGGAAAAGGGCTCATGATAAAGGCATGCAGATTTTGCTACGTAAATGCTTGGGGAGGACATCTATGAAGGGGTGATTGGAAGTTGTCCCACAGTGGTGCCTACTTGAGCGCATTTGGACTTAGGAGAAAGGATTGCTAACCGGATTGCGCAGTGCCTTAAAATCAAGGCGGAGAAGGATTCCTATATAGCATCAGCTTCACCATGCACAGAGTAGATGCAAGTACAGGCAGCCCCATGCCATTTGCTGGTCACTGGGGGCTGTGGGTGGTTTGCTTTACCTTTTTTTTTTTTTTTTTTTTTGGTACCAGGGATGGAACTCAGGTCCTTGTGCTTATGAGGAAGTCAGCGGAACCACTGAGCTAAATCCCTGGCCCTGCGGGTGGTTTCCTTGGGAAAGTCCTAGGACACAGCAGGCAGCACCATCCCTGTTTAAATGGAACAGTGAGGTTCTAGACTCCGGTAACCAGGGGCAGAGCTGTCAGACAGGTCAGAAATCTCGTGTCCCAGGACCCTGTGGCTAACCGAGAGTAACTTCCCTTGCCAACTGTGGTGCTTCTCAAGTTATGCTGTGGTTACACTCCATAAAGTCATCATACATTGAAAACACTGTAAATCAAAGATGAATTTAATGGCTGGGCATGAAGGTGTTCAGCATTTGGGAGGCTGAGGCAGGAGGATCTCTGGGAGTTCTAGGTCAGCCTGGGTCACATAGTGAGGTCAAGGCCAGCCTGGACTACACAGTGAGACCCTGTCTCAAAAAAAAAAGAAAAAAAAGCATTTAATGACTCCTACTTGGGAGCATCCTTGCTCAGCGGCACAGCACACCAAGGAGCTGGCTGTCCCTCTCATGGTCTCTGCAGCTCCTACCCTGCCCAGCCTTGCTGGAGAGGCTCAGTCCCCGTATCACCAGCCCAGGAGAAGAGCCAAAATCAGTGCACAGTTTTACTGAATGTGAGTCACTTTTGTGCCATCATAAAATGGAAAGATCCCAAATCAGATCATCAGGAGTCAGGGCCCTGTTGTCCTGGTGGACACCAGCACCCCCGTAATGAACCTGCATCCTTGTGCACGGGAAGCTCCGGAGAGCCTGGCCCCTGCGGGGACCAAGGCTAACGGTGCAGCTCCGCTCCTGAGGCCTTGACGTCCCCCTGTGAAGCGGGCTTCGATGCCAAGTCCGCCGGCGCCAACCGGCAGCTGCTCAGCAGGACGGTTGTCACTTCCTCTCCTCCAGTCTCCACGGGGTCTCCCAGCCCCTGCCCTTCCTGGCTCTGCCTGCTTCTAGAAGCTTCTGGGTTTGGCCTCTCGTGGTACCTGAGCTTCCACGCCCCCCTCAGGTCTGTGCCCCCAGAACCTGAGCAGACTCACGTGTGCAGTGTCTCTGAGGCCCCCCGAACCTTGTGTGACCCCCAAGTCCAGGGAAAGAAGGGAAGAAAGACGCTGATGTGCTCTGCAGCTGCGCCCCATCCGCCCCCAGCTCTGGGGCTGAGACGGTGCAGCCTTCTTCAGCTCCACTTGCCCAGCCCTTGCTTGGCTCACAGGGCCTTGGTGGCAGGGATTGCCCCTGCCTGCTGCTACTTTCCCTGCCTCTGAGATTGTCACTTCTTCCTGCAGTGAGAGTTTTCCGAGGCCCAGCAGTGACTCCCAACCAGTGGGACTGAGGGGAAAGTCTGTCAGAGCCTGCTGGGAGTGACTTTCCTGGAAGGCACAGGCATAGAGAAAGCCCTTTTTTGCTTTCCTTCCTTTTTGCTTGAACTGCTGCCAGGAAAGGATGTGATACCGGGAACCATGGCAGCTGTCTTGGGACAGGAGGGGAGGCACCACCGCATGCAGAGTGCAGGGCGGGAAGGCAGAACAACGTGTGCCCTCAGCAGCATCAGCAAAGTCCTGGACAAGCCCAGGGTTCCGACCGTGGAGCTCCCCGCACAGCCCGCACTAATGGTTAGACAACACTTGCTGCTGGGTGGTGACAGACAGGGTTCAGTGTCCTGAGTTATGATGCAGGGGCTGTGTGGCTGCAGCCCCCAGCCGTGTACCCCGTGGAGAGCTGGGGTGCTGGCTGGGGCATGCGCAGGGTGACACCTGGACCTGTCTTCAGTGACGCCCTTGCCAGCAGCCACCAGGAGGACCTGACTGCACATTTCTGCACTTGCCATTTTCTCTGTCTCAGTGCCCAGTCTGCTCGTGTCTTTCTGGCAAACTCCTACTCTGCCTGCAAAGCCCAGTTGGAGACTAGACACTGCCTGTCGGGGAAAGCTTCTCCTGGCTTCCAAGCCTCTGCCCCAGCAAGTGAGCCAGTGAGGGAGCGCGTGAACGAGGGAGCACCTCTCCTCTCCTCAGCTGCCAGGCAGCAGAGACCGCAGGGCGTCATCACCTGCACGCAGGGCAGAGCCTGGGGCGCTGCTGGCACAGGTCGAGGGCGAGCGGGCAAGTGGAGGCCTGCTGCCCCTCTGCCGCTGGCTTCTCATGATCTCCCCTCCCCTGGCTTCCCAGGCGTCTGCCAGCTGAGTCACCCGGGCTCATCTGTCCCTCCGCAGATGCGCTGGGGCCGGAGGGCTCTGGGGAGCGAGACGGAGCGGCCCTGGCACTCTGCGGAGGTTAACTAGCCCGGCTTCGCCTGTCTCTGAAGATAAAAAAGGAAAAAGGAGAGAACCCACACTCTCCGGACGCTCCTGCTGGACTTGCGCCTGCCAGGCTGGGTGTGCGCCTCCACTCCGTACCTGCTTGTCTAGGACGCCCGGCTTCTGGGGCCCGGGCGGGCCATCCGGTGTGCTGTGCAAACCGGGGCGTCCGTCTGTCCTCTCTGGTGGGGTCCCCCAACCCCACTGCGCATGCGCTGGTTTAGCAGCCCGCCCCCGGCCCCCACCTGCAGAATCCTCGGAGTTCTTGGTGCCTCCCCAAAGTGAGGGTCAGCGGTGTGCCCCGGGCGGCAGGTGCTCAGCGCGCAGCCGGACCCGGAGAGCTGGGCCTGCGCGGCTGCTCAGCTCCGCCCCGGGACCACCCAGCCCGCCCCGGTAGCCACAGGGCAAACTCCTGCTCCTAACCACAGGAGCAGCTGAGAGCCCGGGCACAGGGTGCCAGCCTCCTCCCCTGCCCCTGCTGGAGCCCTCGCCGTGCCAGCCGGGGCAGGCCTGCCCTCCATTCCCTGGGATGCTCCCTGCCCTTCCCAAAGTGGAAGCGAGGCCCACCGAGCCCGGCTGGAGGAGGAAGGAGCGGCTGGCAGGCGGGCAGGCTCGGCGGGGGAGGGCAGGTCTGGGAGCTTTGATGGGGCCCCCGCAGCTTGGCGTGGGCGGCCCATGTGGGCATGAGGACCCCACCCACGCTCCCATCCTGGCACTTCTGCCAGGCAGCAGGTGGCTTCTGAAGCAGCTGGTTTAGGGCTCCAGGTGGACGATCCTGGGGGCCCCCTGGGCTCCACATGAAAGGCCAGAGGCGCCCCCAGCACCCCTCCCTGGCCCCAGCTCCCAACTGATTCTCATTCCACCCCCTGCCAGCCAGGAAGATGGGTTCCCAGGGCCCGCAGGTACCAGGCCTGCAGGGGCACCCCAAGGGTGGGGGCTCATGCCTTTCCTAGCCCCGCACCAGGTTGCCATGGAGATGCAATGCCATGAAGACAGCAGAGTCCGGGTCCCATCTTTGGGGCTCCCGCGTACCCACCATGTGCAAGGGGGCCAGGGACACTGTGCCCACAGGGAGACAGGTGCCCCTCGCTCCTTTGCCCACACAGGGACCCACAGCCCGTCTGAGTGGCAGCGGGAGTCAGCGGTTCCTAGTCCCTGTTATTTGGGTGTTTTACTCCTGCTGTGCTCTCCGCCCACACAGGGTGATGTTTTCTCAGCGTTAGAGTGAAGAGCTGAGCAGAGGTTGCCTGCAGCCTGAGGACCCAACATTTCAGACCTGGGGTTGGAACCGGTCCCCTTCTGGGCTGGGGGACCCTGCGCTCCAGCTTTGGAAGCCGGGAGTCATCCCCCGTTTTTGTTCTCTTGTTGCTTTTCAACTCTGAGTGAAAGGTAGATGGGCATGGGTGGCAGGGTGGCCTCAAGAGAAAGGGTTGGAGAAGTTTCCCAGCCCGGCCTGGGCCTCCCCAGACAGCTGCTATCGGGAGGGAAAGGGGCCGGACCCACAGGCCTTTGCTCTTCCTCCTGTTTCTTTTCTTGGTAACCCATAGTCTTCAGAGTGTTTTCTGCACGTTTCTACAGGCAACGAGAAGCTGCCTTTCCTTCCCGGCCAGGGTTCATCCCCCAGGGTCAGTGAGGCTCTCCTTCCTTTGCGGGTCACCGCAGGTAAGTGACCTCCGGAGTGGAGGTGCTGCACAATGCAATTCCTGGGCTGCAGAAACACTGTCTTCACTGGCTTCCGGCGAGAAAGGCCAGGGCTTCTGGGCACACCACAAATTAAGGACTGGTGAGTCATTAGGTGACCTGCAGTGGTAGAGCTTCAGCCTGTCTTGTCCATCCTTATGTCCCCTGGCTCCAGCAAGGGCCCTAGAGCAGGATCCATGAGTGCTTGTTGAGTGACTGGGTGAGTGTTTTCATAGCATATGTGGAGCAGAAAGGTGGGTTGGCTCAGGGTCCCGAGTTCGAGTCAGACTGGGCTGTGAGTGAGGGTGCTTTGTGGTGAGTTTAGGAAGTCCCTCCTAGGCATCTTCCCAAGGTGGGTAGAGATGTGGAGGCTGAGTCAGGACACCCGAGGGCAGCCCCTCTCCAGAGCCATTTATTTATCATCTGGAGTGGTCTGAGGAACATAGAACAGAGAGGCCAAAGTTAGAAGGGCAGAGGGAGGGAGAGAGGCTGAGGTGGAGTCTGGACCCCAGCACCTGGAACGCGAGTCTCACCTGAGGACAGGGACCCACTAAGCTGTTGTCAACTTGTGCTGTGAGGAGTACTGCTATGTGCCCGCATTGCAGTGTACCATAGGGGCCGGGCTGTGGCCCTGCTGTCTGCCTAACACCTAACACCTGCTCAGGAAAAGCTTAAATCCTCAAGCCCTGACCCATTACCACAACCCTGACCCATTCCTGCCTCAGGGCCTTTGCTCATGCTGTTCCTCTGCCTGGGATATTCCTCCCCTATTTAGCTACTCAGCTCTCCTTTGCCTGCAGGCCCTTTCTCAGATATCACAGCCCCCTCAAGAGGCTTTCCCTGACTACCCTTGTGTGAGGGACACCCTGTTCTTTCCCCTGTCCTAAACCTGCATGTTGCATGTGCCTCCTGCATACTTGAGATGGGGCTGCTCAGAACGCAGATGTTGCTGTAAGTGGAAAATGTGCGCCTATTTAAAAAATATAGAATGAAAACAAAGGTACAACGACTCCCTAACAGTTCTTACCAGGGTGTCATGTTGCATGATAGTATTTGGACCCACTGGGCAAAACACAGTAACTTACTGTTAATATTCTGTTCTTCTTTGCTTCTGTCAAAGTAGCTACAGGAAACTTTAGAGGCTGGGGTACAGTTTGGTGCTACAGCAACTGCCTACTGCACATGTGGCTCTCCCTGGGTTCCATCCCCAGCACCAAAACCAAAACAACGCAAGGGACCAGCTTTAGAAGTGTTTTGTACTGTCACCCAGGGTCTGTCATAGTTACTTTTATCTCAATGCTGAGACAAAATACCTAAAGTTAAGGGAGGAAAGCTTTATTTAGCTCACAGTTTGCAGAGGCTTCAATCCATAGTCAGCTGGCCCCAAGGCAGGGTGGCCTGGCAGAGGCAATTGCAGAGGAGAAACAGCTCATGGTAGGCAGAAGGCAGCCAGGCAGCAAGCAGCAGGCAGCAGGCAGTGACACTTGGGCTCTTACATCTTATCCAGGCTACGCATCCGTAGGATGAGCAGCACTCATGCACAGGGCACAAGGCAGCCTTAGTCCCTCCCATCACACCACGAGTCAATCCCAGCATTGCATCTTTGATCCCTCATCACACACCCTAGAACCATCCACCTCCGAAGAAACCCCAGCCATGACTGCATGAGGCTTTGAGGGGACATCTAGACACAAGTCATAACAAGGATCATATGTGGTTATAATATTTTTGGCAGTTTTTAGGAATGAAACTCAGGCCTGTGCGTGCCAGGCAAGCCCTCTACCACTGTGCTGTACCTCT